GTACGCGTACGACGCGACGCGACCGGCGCTGTTTTCACTGCAAGCGCGCGACGACGCTCCATTTCTATTTTCTATTCCCCCGTTCAGTCTGAAGCAAAATGAGCGTATAAATATGATATGTGTGCATTGAGTGTTATGAACAGCCTAATTGTTTAAATAACGTCTGGTCGTTAAATCAAAGCCAACTCGTGGTTACGAGTGGCATATTCAACATTATTTGGTAACATTATTTCGCTGTTTTAAAATAGACAATGGAAAGTCGATTTAGAATTTAAATGATTTTCATTCATTTTATTGCACCTGACTGAACGCTGTGAGGTGAGTCAAGTCAATAAAGCTCGACTTGACATGTGGTGCCGTGCCGCGCCGACGCGACGCGACGCGACCAGAACGCGCACTGAAAGACTAAAGCGCTTCACGAGCCATTCTGAAACCTTCCACGTGTAATTCATTTTAATGTTGAAAGACCACGAAAAAGCAGTCTCACTCTAAAAAACTTTGGGTCAAAGAACCGTTGGGTTACATTTTTACATTACATTTTTAACCCAAAAGTTGGTTTAGTCCATATTTGACCCAAAGTTGGGTTGAAACCACCCAGCATTCTTTAGAGAGTATGATTTGAATTATGGATGTTTTCGAGGTTTAAAAGGGTGAATGATTTCAGAGAATAAGGTCCGCTATAAATTCAATGCAAAAGCCTATAGGAGTTTAAAAGCTTGAGAGCCCATCTCAGCAGTGGTCTCACATAGGGATTTTTTTTGGTACACTCTAAAAAATGCTGGGTTAAATACAACCCAGTGCTGGGTAAAATAGGGACAAACCCAGCAATTGGGCTGTTTTGACCCAGCGGTTGGGTTAAATGTTTAACCCAACCTTCTGGGTAGTAACCCAACCGCTGGGTCAAAACAACACAATTGCTGGGTTTGTCCCTATTTTACCCAGCACTGGGTTGTTACCAGCATTTTTTAGAGTGTAAAATCATAATTTTACTAATTTTTAATAATTTAATAATCATAATCATATCTTGATGTGTTGTGCATGTGGCAGCTTCATTTCCCAGCCAAACAAAAGACACCAGTGTCTGAAGATGTACTTGCATTACCATCAGTGCAGATGATTTTTCCAGGGATTTTTTTGGGCATTACTGAATGAATGGAATTTTTTAAACAGTACTGGCTAAGCATTGGCTGTGTTTCGCATGTTGGGTTTGGTTTTTGCTGGCACTGGTCTGATGTTTCACCCTCCCCCTCTGGATAACCTCTGAGAGCAGATCTACGCTTTATTGCTTCTCTCCAATGTGTTTTATGGATAGTAGCTTATAAACTAAACAGCCCAGTTTATATCAGAGGTCTATTTTTACAATGCACCTTGATTAATTTAAATCTATAAAAATCACAGAGATTAATGAAATTGTTTGTATACATGCAAACAGTAGAGAAAGTAACTTTATTAATAGAGTAAAAATTTACCAATATAATTTGTCTATCCTAAGATAAATTATTATGACCTCTCTGGGCAGTAATTTGGCCTCAGGCACAAATTATTAGATATAAAGAAAAAATACTGTCAGGAAGACAAAAATGCAGTTATTTCCTTGTGTTTATTTATTATACAGGGATTTATGAGCACAAACTAGTGAATATCTTGAATATTGAATATTGTTTGGAAGGTTCTTTTGAAGATCGCTTAGATACATAGCAGTGGAAGTCACATATGGTCATCTGATCCACAGAGATCAGTGTTTGTTATTCCATATTTTCCTCTGACTGCACTCTCTGTCATTCTGCTCGCTTTCTCTCTTCCTGTCTCTTTTCCTCCCCTCTGTTTCTCACGTCGACCCTTGGTTTAGAAGTAATGACATCAGTGCCCTGGCATGTGTGATAAACAGTTAAAATGATGAGAACAGAGAGGGAGAGATATGAGAAGTTGGATCTGTGTAATAGGTTCATTGTCTGAGGAGAGCTCAAAACCATCAGGCCAAAAATACTATAATTTTTAACCTTATTGACACATTATTGATATGTCAAGAACCATCAGCGTAAATACACAACTTCTTCACTTGCAAATGTTCATTAAGTACATATTATTAGTACATACTATCCTTGTGGGACATAGAACGCAGACAAAACCTGAATTATACACACGCAGTGTTAGCTGGAGTGTGACGTTTGTGTGTGTGTTTGTTGTGTGCAGGCTGAGCGAGGAAGACCATGGTGGAACAGGGCCAAATGTCGTTGGCGGGACAGAGGTTAGGAGCCCCAGAGACTCTGGGGATCAGCACCCTGGAGCCTGGACACAAACCGCCTGCTATGCCACCTGGACGCCTGGTGCCCATTAGAGTCCTGCTGCTGGATGACTCAGAGGAGATATTCGACATATCGGTGAGTGCATATCCAATAAAACTCTGCTGCTGTGTTAAAAAAAACGACTCTTCTTGGTGGACACATAAGGCCTATTCACACCAACATGGATTTTAGGTACAATTTTGGCATGCAATTTGTCTGATATACTCCAAAGTCCATTTCAAAGAAAAGTCTCTTCACTCGATGGCCATAGTTGCAACGCCTTCGGGCAGCTATTTTGGGATTCCTAGACCAAGTCCTATCTAAATGACTGGGGGAATCCTGAAATCTCAAAAGCTGCTTGCTGAACTCACAATTAAATTACATATTTCAAATCAGAAGCAACAAAATCCATATTTGTTGTTCCTTATGCTCAAATAGAGTTAAAAAGGCATATTTCTCAGGCTAGACCAGTCAATGCACATGTGCAGTCATAATCGCTAGCTTCTAACGGCAGCTGCAGTGATGCAGTGACTTTACCAATCAGCGATTGGCTCTTTCGTTTAGAAAGAGCCATTCTGCCATATTTCACATTGCAGTTAGTGATGGGAAGTTCGGATCATTTTACCGACTCGGGCCTTTGAGTCTCGTTCAGAAAAATGAACGAATCTTTTTTCGAGTCATTTCGTTCATTTTGTTCATTTTAGCAAAATATCATTAAAATGTTACGTGTTACTTCCCTAAGACGTCTACTACTTACTCAAATGTTGATCACACTACAAACAATAAAAAACTGCTATAAGAAACAGAAAATATTAATTAAATGCTTACCTGGGTCTTCAGTCTATGATTAGCTCACCTTACCTCTTATCGGACAAGTCTTCAGGTTTGAGTCGTTCATTCATCACGTGACAGCCCCATAAACTTAACCAATGCAGTCTGAGCCGGAAGATAATTGATTAGTTCATCTCTCGAATCTTTCGAATCATCCGTTCTTTTGTCACGTGACGTGACAGCATTGGATAGAGAAATTAATTAATTTACAAGCTTCCTTACAAACGGGTGCATAGTTATTATTATTATTATCATCATTATTATAATTATTATTTACTCTTACAGTTACGTGATGCGTTTCTGGTCTCAAATTGTATCTTTTTACTTATTACAGTTTATAAATGTGTGAATGTCTGTCATTATGTTTCTTTTCCATAACACTGAATGTTGTAACAAAGGTAATAAAGAGTTGGTTATTATTATTAAGTCTCTTTCCGGCTCAGACTGCATTGATTAAACTTATGGGGCTGTCACGTGATGAACAAACGACTTGAAAAACCCGAAGACTCGAGAGATGAACTAATCAATTCTCTTTCCGGCTCAGACTGTATTGGTTAAACTTATGGGGCTGTCACGGGATGAACGAATGACTCAGAAAAACCCGAAGACTCGAAACAGGTGAACTACTTGACTAATTCCAGTACAGAACCTATAGGATGTTCCCAGAGACGACTCGTTCTTCCCGAGTCACATTAAAGTGAACGAATTGTTCAAAAACGACCCAACACTAGTTGCAGTTTCTCCCATTCATAAGTAAAAGGAATGAACCGTCTTTGTATATCTATAGTCTTTGATATACTCAGAGTGAAGTTCTCTTTCTTTGTTTAGGGGGAAAATAGAAGTTCGGAAGAATTTGCAGCGGTATACTGTTAGCGAACATCCTGATAATGCTGAGAGAAGCGTTTAGATGAATATGATTACAAATCACAAATACACCACAAAAATGACCGTAGTGAGAAAGCAGCAGTTAGGAAAGCATCTGATCATAGCCTTGTGCCAGCTCTGCAATTTGTCATGATTATATATATAGCACTTTATAAAATATATTGCTTTAAAGAAAGCTGCTTTACAATATTAAACATGAATAAAATAGTATCAGTGTCACTTTAAATTAGAATTACTATTATTTTCTATAATAAGAGAAGATTTTAATGTCAACGCCCACCTTTTACACCATCGCCATGGACCAATGGTTTCTGTAAGGATGTGACGTCACATGAAAACTAGGAATAGGAAGTAGCAAATTATGGTTCACTGGTGCAAACAGTCACAGTTTATTCCTTCCACAACCATCAACTGTGGAATGCATTGGCTTTGAAAATATTTCATTGCTTTTGTCCATAGTGCAATCTGAGGTTTTTGACTATATAAATAAATAGCTGATCCTTAACTGAATAGGAAATGTCAACAAAAGAAAGAATGCACCTTAATAGTGGGGAATGAATTAGATTTTTAATTTATTATTTATTAGACACTGACTGCAGTCTGTCATGGAGAACATGCTGGGATCTGATCAGATTGAAGCAATATTTGTCATTTCCATAACAGAACCATTCTGCAGTATCTCTACTGAACATGATTGCGATTATTAATAGATTTTGTTGAGCTGGTTGTATTAGCTGCAGGTGTGAGTGAGACTGATTTGTGAAGGAATGTGAGAGTGTGAGAGAGTTTCGTGAAGGTGTTTAGCTATTCTGTGGATAAATATAGAGCATGCCTGTGCAAACCAAATCTAAAATTATGTTATTTTTTTTCTTGTAACCTGCAACATTGCAGAACTGTGAAACCACAGAGAGCTGAGAGGTATTGTCCTAAGGTTTGTTTGGCTGGGGTTCAGCTGCTTTGAGTTCAGCACACACTCACACACACACACACACACACACACACAATTTGGGTTTTCATGTTTTATGGGCACATTCCATAGATGTAATGTAGATGTAGTAGATCTAAACCTGCCCCTCTCACAAAACTTTCTGCATTTTTACATTTTCAAACAACTTCGTTCTGTGTGATTTATAAGCTTGTTTCCTTATTGGGACCAAAAAATTAAAAATAAATGTCCCCAGAAGGTCAAAATGTACGGGTGTTACTATCCTTGTGGGGACATTTGGTCTCATATCTCATATTGTAATACACATCTGAGTGTCGAACATGAGATGTGAATGAGGTTTTCTGGTGAATTTGAAGGTGCCAGTTGCGATCAGAAAAATTTGATAATTTCTAGGAACACAGTTACTGTTACTTTTGGTAACTTTTCTAGAGATTTTCTAGAGACAGCTATACTTACTTAACATGACAACATGACAAGATTTTGTAATATTTTTGTTGTCAGTAATATTTTTGAAATTACTAATATTTTTTTATATGTTTTTGAAAGAAGTCTCTTATACTCACCAAGGCTGCATTTATTTGATCAAAATACAAGAAACAGTAATACTGTAAAATAAAACTCCAATTTAAAATAACTTATCTGTTTAACATATTTTAAAATGCAATTTATTCAGAATCAGAATCAGAATGAGCTTTATTGCCAGGTATGTTTACACATACGAGGAATTTGTTTTCGTGACAGAAGCTTCCACAGTGTAACAGAATGACAGTGACAGAACAAAAACACAGATAATAAAATATAAAAAAAAAAGTAAATAAGGAATAAAAATATATAAATTGACAATTGAATGTGCAGGTATATTACAATAGACCGTTTTTGTATGTACAGGTACTGTATATTATGTGCAAATTTGAGGTGTAGACTGAGTATGAGTGTTAGATAAATAAGTGTATGAGTGTATAAATAGTGTGTGTTCCACAGTTATTGTTAAGTGTTCATGAGATGGATGGCCTGAGGGAAGAAACTGTTCCTGTGTCTGGTCGTTCTGGTGCTCAGTGCTCTGTAGCATTGACCAAATGGCAACAGTTCAAAGAGGGAGTGTGCTGGATGTGAGAGGGGATGATGGTGGAGCGTTTGAAGCATGAAGGGACTTCGCACAGCTCCAGTGATCTGTTGAAGATCTGTGTGAAGATGGGGGCCAGCTGGTCAGCACAGGATTTCAGACAGACTGGTGTAACACAGTCTGGGCCTGGTGCTTTTCTCCTTTTCTGCTTCTGGAAGACCTGGCGCTCCTCTTCTTCATGTGATGTCAAAGCTAAATTTTCAAAAACTGTGATGCATTTTTTTCAGTATTATTTGAAGAACAAAGTTCAAAAGAACAGCATTTTTTTGTAACAATATATATTATTTTACTGTCACTTTTGATCAATGTAATGCATCCTTGTTGAATAAAAATCGTACTGACTCTTTTGAAACTTTTTAACGATATGTAATGTGGGTTTTGATGTATCTAGATTTGAAGCATGCTTGTCTATACAAAAAGTGCATGGTTGCCATGGTGTTGCTATGCAATTGTTAGTGTGCCCTGAGTGTTTTTAGCCCTTTACCATGTTGCTGGTTGTTCTGGGTGGCTGCCAGCTGATTGCTTTCTTGTCCAATTCAGATTTATATCCGTATTTTAATATAAGTTAAGGGATTGTTTTGGCTGTTTAATAGTAATGACTGCCATATACTGTCTTGTGCGTGTCAAATTTGTGTCACTGAGAACACAGCATGAAGTATCACTGTTGATGTGTGTGTTGAATATTGATCGTATGTGCTGTGTTTGTGTTAGAGCTCAAGCTGTCTGACTGAGTAAAGATGACAGTCCCTAAAGAGGATGTTATTCTTCCTTCCTCCTTACTGACTCGATCAATATGTCAGTTAATATAATGAACTGAATAAACACTGGTTTGAGTCAAAATCACTGCCACAACATCATACCGACTCCATTACATTCCCTATCAGTAGGCCTTTCTGTCTCTCTTTCATTCTCTCTTTTATCTTGCTGTATTTTGTACAGAGCTCCACACATTAGGGCTGCATAATACTGGAAAACTGGCATTGTGATATTTTGTTTTTTGGCAAAATAAATGTTTAACGTATGGTAGTATAATAACTCGCACAACGAAGAAGAATAGTTCAGGAACACTTGTTTAATATCAAACTCACTGGAGAACAGGAACAAACGCTACCAAACACAAATGAGAACCAACAAATACTGAGGGAGAATTGAAGTCTTAAGTACACAAAGCAAATGAGAAACTAATGAGTTAATTAACAAGACACAGGTGAATATAATGAAGAATAAGACAACTCAGGAAAACTAGGTCACAGGCCAAAACCAAAACACAAAGGAGGGAACACAGATCATGCATGTAACAGTTCGTCCCCT